ATCTGATTGGCTGATATTCTCTGGTATATGCACACCCCAGAAACTGGGACTACTTCTTAGCGTAGATAAGAAAGCGTAGATAAAAAAGCTTGGATTCTCATGTATCTGATAGACGTATCTTTTTCTGCTGTCTTTGTTGCGCTCTTGAGGATCCTTGTGATATTTTGAGCTCTTGTTGAATGATAAGTGTCGCATAGTTTAAATCATTTTCATTCTTAGAAATTATGAAACACTCTGTTAAAAGCAAGGGAGTATTTATGTCTATAGTAAAAGAAAATGCCTGCCGAACTAGGGATTGGACAATCGATGGAAATGTTTAAATAAATGTGCTAAAGAAATAAACAAAAAAAAGTAATTTATTCCTTTATCATATTGGCTAGCTAATATCCTCTCTTTGCTAGTTACTTGTGGCTGTGTTTCTGCGTTGCATCGCAACAAGGGACTATATTCTCAGGCGGAGGAATGTAAGCTTAATTTTCCTGTTAAATACATTTTAAAATTAAAATTCATTCTATACAGCAATCGCATATTTGGGGACCGTTTTATAAAACTTTGATGCTTTAAATGTTTAGGGAGAAATGGAAGACCAGTGTGTATTTCTTTAAACTACCAAGATCAGCCATTTGCAGTACAGTTTACATACAGTAATATGTTTATGTTCCTAAATTAATATCGTTTATGACCTTCAGCTGCATGATGCTCCTCTTCTTTTTATGCTCAGCTACTAAAATTTCCCTTTAGTTGTAAAATTCCATATAAATATTCAATACTAAGCAGATTAAAACGTGCACAGTAAAGACAATAAATGATTAAATCTTTCCACGACCAACCAACACACCACGAGTGCCCCTGTCAGTCATTTTGGCCAGCCAATCACTTACCGCATGACGCGTTGATGATGTATGATGACTATGACGATGTAATGAACTGCCTGCAGTACGGGTTTGTACCGCGCACTTTGAATGGCTGCATCTGTATCATCATTACTTTATCACCTATGTTTTTACATAGGTGATGCTCTGTACAGTACTGGAGCTGTATGAGTAAAATTCTCAAAACTGAATTAGAAATGAGAAGCGTGTACCCATTAGTGGTATAGCTAACATGTCTTGGGTTCTATTGGAAAAATAAATAGGTCTGGACTATTATACTAGACAATCTTTTCCGTTTTTGATCCCAACTTATTAATGTATACCATCCAAGTCGCCCATTTAGATCACAGAATGCAAGTCTTCATATTCCATGCATTAATAAAAAAACAGCTGGCGGTAAAGCCTTTAGTTACAGGGCCCCTAGCTTATGGAACAGTCGTCCACCCCGTATTTGGGATGCCGAGTTGATGTCAGTATTCAAATCCAGACTGAAGACCTATTACTTCAGCCTAGCCTACTTACACTTTATATTATAGTCTGCTGCAATCATGACTGCTGGTGCTGCTGTACATGCCATTGTGTGTCTCTATGTTGGCCCACCAGGTATAAACATCTGTTCTGACCAAACGATCATATTCTCCTCCCAACATGTCCGGATGGTTCCCGGGCTGAGTTGGATGCTGCATCACTGCCATGGATTCAAGCGGGACATTGTGGATATAGCTATCGTTTAGGAGGATTTTGCTGGTCTACAGAGCTCTTCATGGAGTACTGAATACTGAGTACTCAATACCCTCGTTCATTTATTTCTTTTTTTAATTGTATAATGTTAGCATGCCCAAAGGTGTTGGGCAGCCAGTAGACCTTGGACCACTAGAGGTTATTTTTCTCTTTACTAAGGAGTTTTTGGTTCCTCTCCTCCATTGTCTTCCTGTCTTTTCTGTTCTGCATTCACAACATGTACGTCAGTTTCATTGTTAAGTGCCTTGGGGCAACCTTGTTGTGAAAGGCGCTATATAAAGAAATTGAATTGAATTTTCACTTTTCTTGCTTTGTTTCTTTAATGCTTAACAAAGCTAGTGCTAATAGTATTTCTGTATCTTTTAAATAACATGAGTTTGGAGTTTGGAAATGATCTATTAACAGTGACAAGGGTTACAGGAATAAATACAAAATATTAAACACATGAAACAAATGCCAAAAAAGACATTTGTGGAGTGGTGGATTAATTAATTTTAGGAGTATCAATTTAGGAATATTAGGATGTTCATAATTTGGAAATAATGGTGATGTGTCATCACTTTAATAGTTCTGCTTTGGAAAAGAGTTTAGATACCATAATTTCTAGTCGGACAATTCCAAATCTTTGCACAGTTGGACCTGTTTTACCAGCTGCTGCACTACAAAATCTAAACATCAAAAAAGCGTGACCAGTTTTTGTAATTATATACATTCTGAGGTATTATCAAAGTTTTGAGAAGAATTTTCATGAGTATCTAGTCTCATTACTAGATGCTGTAAAATTCTGATTTTTGACCAATTAATTCATAATTTGGTAAATCATCTAAGCAATATATACCAAACCTATCACTTACAAAAACAAAAATATCAGACAAATATTAGAATATTTTTAAATGGAGCATAGATCATATAGGTTAATTAATTATGCTGATTAACATTTGCCAACATCAGAGAGTTAATCAAGTACTATGATCTCCTATCAACTATTATGATACTAGGCTACTTTTGGAAGCAACACATTCTTTGCAGCAAGGTGCTGTTGTGGTGTTGTGTGATTCTGCCTTATTCTTCCCTGTGTGCAGTGTTCCGAAACGTTGTGTTTCCTTTCTTCTCTTTTCAGCATGGAAGAAACCTTTACTTTAGGTAGCCCTTTGCAGCCTATGCATGCTGATGCAGCTACATACTTGAATTTCTTCACCACACTTGCTGACTTCCACTATTGCAGTCTGCATGAAGCTTGATAAGTCACTGAAAGAACTTGTCTCCACTGATTGCATGTCCCCCTGAGATGTTGCTCCACTATACTGGTGATACAGTATTTCTGTGTTTTTTGTATTTTTGATTTGCACTTGGCCTTCATGGAATACTGTACATCAAAACTTTTCATTAATATACAAATTCTATATACTTTATTTTTCTAAAACCATACATGCACAGAGTGATAAATGTTTTTGATGCTCAAAAGATATAGATCAACTAAGGTAAGGTATATCATCAAAATAAAAATATATCTGAGAAGCAGATATACAGTACTGTACATCAAAGAACTTAGCATGTATGTAATGAGAAAAAGCTTACATTTACAGGAGCAGCAGAAGAGAGGCTTGTCCTTCTTGACATTAACAGTGTTCTTTGTTACAAGGTTTAGGAACTTCCTTAAAAACCTAATATAAAAATAGTCAGTGTATATAATGTATTGTACATGCTATGAAAAACATTTAGCCCTGCATAGTTCACACTTACAGGTCAGGAAGTGAAGTGTAACCCCAAAGGCCAGTTGTAGGTTGTGGGTGTTGTCAACAAGGCCCTAGTATTGGAAGAATGAGTGGCACTGGAACAGGTGTGACCCATGCAGGCAGTCTATCAACTATGGTGAGAGACTGGCAGCCACACATGAAAAGCAACTTTTAGTGTGAGATGAGTACCCAGTAAACGGCCTACTCAATATACAGTACACTCTTTAAATAAATCACAGGCTTAGAAATCTGACAGTATCAGTCAACAATTCATGTCAGCACTCACTTAAAATAAGTGCTGTCAACCATCTTTTAGGCATTTAAGAATTTTGAACTCTGAATGCCCCTGTATACAGTATGTACATCATATACTATGGTATAAAATTAGCATTTAACCATCCTTCCTGTCTCATTTCCTTTGGTACTCTTCAGATGTAATAAAACTGAGCCCACTGCATTTTTAACAATCTCCGTTAAAAAGTAGTAAACTCTTTTAGTTTTAAAACAGGTCTTTACATTTTTTTGTGTAAAGATGACATACACTTGGTATATTCAAGGGGCCTAAAAGTCTTTTAAAAGTTTTGCTATAATTATGGCTAATCTGCTAATATTCAACTTTCCTTAATACCATCCCTTAATTTAAGATATTTAAATAGTACTAAATCTTTTTGTGTTACAGACTTTAGCTTTTTAACTGTTTCACTGCCTTTTATATAACTAAATATTCTAACTCATTTTAAAGCACAATTGCCTTCAACCATTTCCTTACAGAAAAATTCAGGAGAATAAATATCATTCATAATTCTCTTTGAAAACAGACTTTGTAGTATTCTCTTGCATTACTATTTGTAGTGGGAGGTAAAAATGACCCATAAGTATTAAGAATACTTTCTTTCACAAAACAGGACATGTGGAAAAACTTAAATTCTCCACAAATTCTGGGAGGAAATTTTCAACATTGGGAAGTAACTGTTTCAGGTACCCATCACAAGAGGGTTCATATACAATAGCACACCATTTTGTAAAACCTGCAGCAAGTTTGATTCTGGAAGGAATTTTAAAGAAAATTCACAATGTTCTAAACCTCAAACAAAGAAAAATACCAAAAGGTGGGGACACATGAAAAGTGTAACAAATGTGCAGTTTATAAATTAACCAAGAAACTGAAGATAGACAATATTTGAATATGTTTCTTAAAATGCGCTTTATCAAGGCATAACAAAAGAAATAGAAATATTAACATATACTGTAGAGTCATTTTTCCATGGCAAAAACACATGAAAGAATTAACAGTAATATGAAATTATTTTGAAAAAAATATATTTTTATTTTATTACATATCTCTTGGGCATATATAATTATATGGTGTATTTAAGCATTTTGCATGTATGCTTCAACTGAAGTAGATAAAGAAATTGATTAAACTGATATACAAGTTTAACAAACAGATAAAAAAAACATAATAAACTATGTGTTATAATATCCATTCCATGAATTTGCTTCATGCTCTGAGCTGGACAAAAATAGCTGAGTAATCTGCTTAATTTATGATAGCGGTGATTAGGTTCAGCATATATTATATATTATATTATAACTTTATAATTTGTGATGAATTACAGAGAGGAAGCAGTCTGACGAATGCAAGACATTATAGATTCAGAACAGTTGCACTTTATTTTTAAAATTTTCTAGGAAAAGGCTTGAACAATATTAATGGTGTTGCTGATGAAAAAGATATCTGGCATATCAAAGATCTCATAGAAGAATAATAAGGTAATAAAATACATTTATTTTAAAATATACAAATAAACCAAATTTAGAGTACTTAATCTATCAATACTATTTTGTGCACAGATTTATTTTCTCAATGCACTTTCTGTGAACAAACTGAAATGGTTGTCAGTTGATATCAGACTCTCCTCACTCCACATTTAATAAAACTCTCAGGGTTATATGGTAAAATGCATCAAAATGATTGCATATTTAACTTCAAAAGATACCTATGCCTCTGTGGTCTTAAGAAACATATTTTGCTCTTAAGAAATACATCTATTTCCTGAATCTACGAGGAGAAAGGGTTAATGCATTTTTTGGTTAAATATAAACTTGAAGGTGATGAGAAACACCTTATCTCAGCATGGACATAATAGAAAAACAGTAGGTGTACAATGCATATTTTACTAAATGGGAGACCTAAATTCAAAGCTACTGAATCCTTACAAGGTTTTTGTGCATACTGTGCCCTCCGGTGCCATGCATTACAGGGATGCCTGACCAGTCTCAATAGTGCAATATATGCATCTTTCGTTTTGAAACATATAATTACATCCTCCTGTCTAGCCTTATAAATCTTTTTCAGGCCAATTAAAGACTGCCTTTAGCATGCTTTTTCAAAAAGGGGACAACTGCAGAGGATAGTGCGTCTGTTCCTCATAAATAGGTTTGCAGATAACAAACACATCAAATAAATTAAGTAAAGAGGATAATGTATCTTCTTTTAACAAAAGTGTGCATGGCTATAATGAGCAGGGGCTTCCACTAACATGAAGGTTACATTTAACCTTCATCCAAATAAATAAGTAATTTTAAACAGGAGGAATAAATCCCATTTTGATTTTTGTTTTTCAAATATATTTGAGTTGCAGCACCACAATTTCATACATTGCAAGCTTCAACTTGTTTAAAACTAAAATGTCATTGAAAATTAGAAAGAATAGGGAAAATGAGACAAGTCAGACTGACAAACAAGAACTGCACTATAAAAAACAATAAGTTTTAAAATGTCAATGCTTTAAAGATAAGCCGATCATTTAAAGTTATATTTACATAAGCTTGCAAACAATCTTAAAACTTATTGCAGTTCCAATATTGTGTATTACAAAAGGGATCTCTCACAATGATACATTACTTTACCCATTATTATCCATTATATTATATGTACCTTTGACAAACTATCACATACTGTAAGTACATCCTACAAATACCTTTTTGTCTTTCATGTAGTGCATCAGCAAAGAACAAGACAGCCAACATCAAAAGTATTGTATACACAAAACATGGTTTTGTGTAAACAAGTAGAAAACAAAAAATAAAGAAATAATTTAATAATGAGACAATGTATTACAAAGACAAAAAACCTTCTATTTTATTTTTTTGTGTGAACTTAACCAAGGAAAGTAAAATGACTATATACCGTAACTGCAGGTTCTGTCTCATCATGGGTTTCAAAGGTACATTGAAGCACGCACTATGTACACCTACATGTTTAATAAATATTAAACTCACTTAAATTTTAAAAAATCTAGGCTAAAAATCTGGAAAAATAGGGCTTTTCCATTTCTATAACATTATAGAATGAGAAGCTGTTTCGATTTTGGTGGCTTATGTAGAAACAGCATAGCCAATTAGCCTAATATTTTAGGTGAAATGTCATTGGGATGGAGAGCTGTGTTGTGAATCGTATGTAAATAGCTCATTAATAGAGGTTATTAACAGCCTTATGCTTTCAAGTTAAAAAGCATAAGAGAAAAAGAAATAACTATACACAATTTCTTTATCCATCTAAGCAAGCAGGTTTTATGTGATTGTCATAAATGAAAGTTAAGCGCAAGATTACACAAGTGGAAAGCTATATGTAAAAAATAAAATAAAATATTTTCCAGCAGCCTCACAGATTTAAAAGTTGACCAAGAGAATTATTTATGTCCCCTGCAATTTTCGATGAAGAGCACAAAAGAATAATTAGACCAGGACGTTTTGCAACGCTCTTCCCATCTCGCGCACTTGCATGCCCACCAAATGTGAAATGTTCGCCTATTCCCCTCAAACATGATGGTTGTTGAACTTATTTTTAGTGTCATTTGATAAGCTTCCCTGCTTGCAGAGAGACATCCCACTGACCCAGCCACTGGTCATTGTCTATACCAGTTCACATCAAAGCAGGCGCGCTTTGTCAGGTTTCGACTCGAATATCCATTTTGCATCTGAAGTACCGTATCGAAAGTGACTAGATCGTTCGAGCCTTTTTCTTCAGCTGCTGCCTTCTTCCTCCCCCACAGTGTTTCCGCTCACACTAACATCATTTGGGACTGTCAACGTGACAGGGCAGTTGAAAATGTTACAACAAATATGTATCGGACATTGTTTTTGTAAGGTTCCGTGCGGCCATGAATAGAATTTGAGGAAAATGAATAATAGTGTGCACTTTCTTCTCCGCTTTTTTATTCTAAGCTTGTCTCAATGCTACCAAGACATGGTGCTACTCAAAATCTGGATAATGCAAATACAGTAATAGGTCATTCAATGTCAAAAGGCATAAAAAAGATGAGCAAAATCTTCACAGGCTGCTGCTTGCTGTTGCCTTTAATTATATTAATTAAACTTTGAGATTCTCATGCAAAGAGAGTTGCTGGATTGTGACGCAGAGGAGCCCTTGGAGATTTGAAGTACTAGAGGTGCCAGCACTGACACTGCTGAATTAGTACTAAAAAAGTCTAAAAACTGATAGATGTGTTTACAGATCATGATGCCTTATGTGTTACTGAAGTGAAAATGAATAAAAAAAATTGAAAAAAACACCAGCAACCACGTCAAGGACTTGAAGCATCAATCCCTTAAACCTTGCCAAGATCTTTGGATACACGCTGTCTTGCTGTAGAATAACGCTCTATTAATTTTTCTGTCCCGAGTGTATAATGAAAGAAAGGTGTCTTCAAAAACTAAAGGGCAAAGTCTTGCTGCTTTTAATACCTTGGGGCGTCCTGTCTACATTTTGTCATGCGTGTGCACTTTTCAGTGTTAAAATGACAAGATCTGCAGTCAGAAAGCTCCCGCTAGGCATTCAACGATAGTGGAGTTAGAAAGATTTTGTGATGAGACATCGCCAAAAGGCAATGGACTTTTGCACTTGTTAGGCCCATTGGGATTATTTTTATTTCCACGCCAACGGCAACCAGCTTCATTCTCTCTGTTTTTTTTTAAATAGCTGCCGTCTGTGTCCATGAAATTAGGTTTTTCACAGAAGGCACAATATGGTCAGAATATGTTAAGACTTTGGTGTGCACAAAATGCTAACCACAACTGAGTGGCAAAAAATGGAACATACTGTAAATATTTTTTTTATTAAAATTTAAAAAATAAGATAATAAAATGAACTAGGTCAATAAAATATAAAGATTTCATAAGGTGCTTAACAATGCATCGCTATTATTAAAGACCTTGTATTCTGAGGTAAAGGGATCCTAATGCCTTTTGAAGTGCACAAAATTGAGGGAAGCAAAAGTGGTTTTAAGGGTAAATGAGAAGTCCTATGAAAACTACAATCTTCTGTTGTCTTCAGTAGGTAGTATCTTGTATTTAAAAGGTCCAGGTCCTTGTCATCTACTGTGTTTGAACACGACTGAAATTTATACATCTGCCCTAAAAGGAAGAAAGAAAAAGAGGATATTATCCGCATAATGACTAAAAAATAGTATATAAAATCACTAATCATCATAATCAACATGGAATTTTCTTTTCTGTATATCAATGGTTTTATACAGTGACATCAAATAAACGTTTTAAATTAAAAATATTAAAATATCATTATAAATAGGTAATTTACCTTAAGGTTGGACTCATTATGAAAATTAAAGTTTACTTTTGTAGATGTTAAAAAATAGATCCCAGTTTTAAGATGATATGACATATAATAACTCATTAAGACACATTGTACCACAAAATACATTTTGCCTGTTTGCAGATGAACTGTTGATACATTTTATACATTTCTTCACAAAAAATGAACAATTGTACACATACTGTAATATTTTTAGTATATGTACAAGCAATATTTATAATAATGGTGTTACCATAATTACCACCATCTCCAAAAATACATTAAATGTGTCTGTTTAAAGAGCACTACATTTGGAATAAAATGTACAAAAACGGAACAAAATGTGTGTTATTTTAATCATTTAGCTTTATTCAGACATCTTATCTTTAAACATTTCAATTTTGCATGTGTCCTCACGGGACTGCACATCTTATACCAGAGGTAAACACTGTTCAAGACATATGAGACAGAACAGAATAGCTGTCTATGCCTCTATAACTTCTAAGCTGAGTGGCAAAAAGAGGGAGCTCTAGCACTGCTTATATCCATTGAGAGGGACACCTACTGCTTAACAATGTAAAATAATGTCTGAGGCAGTCTTTCAATACTGTCACATTAACTGAGAATAAAAAAATCTGATAAAATCATTATTATTAACACTGCTACTATTATTATTCATAGATGTATTAATAGTAGTAGCAGGTTGTAACAACAAAACTGGACATTATATCTTGCCTATGAGTATTTATTTATTCAGCATTTAAACTGACAAAAGTACAACCAAATAAGCCACTTTGTGAATTTGAATTAGTGCATTACTCCCTGATTCCTATGGTAGCAGGCTTTACTGCGTCTCCTAAGCTCTTCATTGTATACCCTCTGCATTTAATCTTACATGGTAAACAAATAAGGCACATCAGATGCTGTTTTGGCCACAAACACCAGAGTGGATAAATTCACTGGATTTTCAGCATTAAGTCTAGAGATTCAAATCTGTCCTAGGCACAACGGCTGAAAAATCATTATGGTGTGAAGGCTATGCAGGTGTGACACAATACGTTTAGATCCATTCCTGCTCCCCAGTGCTTAGAAAACTAGTACTGATCTGGCAACCTGAGCTGAAACAAGACCATGCTTAACAGAAGCAGAAAAATGACTGGCACTGCCCACCTGTGCTACAATAATAGAAGGACAATGGTCTATAAGTCAACTTTAATGGCTCTGCAATTTTCTCAAATAAATGAATGGGTGGATGAATGAAGGAAAAGGAAATGTCTTAATTTTTTCAAGTGCATTTACATTAAAGTCATTTTGTCTCTGCTCTTTAATAATGTAAGTATTATGTTTAATCATTTTAAATAATTCTACATATATTAAAAGAAGGAAACCCAAAATAATTCAATTTACATGGTACAGTATGTATTTATAAAAAATAGTCTCAACACTTTTAATAACAATTATTACAGGTATCTTTTGTAGAGATTCACAGCTGCATTACTGTGTGTATATACTGTATATAACAGCATTAATAATTAAATATATCACAAAATCCACAACTGAATCCAACTCGATTCAGTATAAAAAGTTTCCCAATCTCTGCCATAAATCAGTCAATGGTGTTATGTTCTCATTTCTTTTTTATAAACTAAAGTTAAATCTTTCCTGTTAATCAGCCAGTTAATTTATGAATCAAATTTAAATATATATATAAGATACAAAATCTTAAAACAAAAAAAACACAAAAACTTTTGTATAGATACAAATAACATATAGTGTGTATTTTTAACTTTACACCTGCAGACACAATTACAAGTACAGAGGAAATATTATTAGCATAATCACACAAATAATCCTGAAAAACACCTAACAGTATTTTTTCTATCTTATACTTAATTTTTACATACCATACTTCAACTGTGAAAACTTTAAATTCAACAAAGCTTAAATGATTAGTATTAATACAGCTGGCATTAAGACTTGGAAGTAGTCCAGAGAACAAATTTGAGTGGTGCTTCATTTGATCATTTTTTTCTTTTTTCCCCTAACATCCTTACAATGTGATATTTAAGCCAACAGCTTTAAACAAATTATTTTACATTACAAATTCTTGTCTTATGTACTTCTGAGACATGTTCTAGCGTTGGTGCGACTTAAACCATATGCTATGTTTGAAGTGCTTTCTGAAGGTATAACTTATTTTCTTTCTCCCCAAATTAACATGTGAGTCAAGACAACACATACTGTATATAACTTAGCTTGGGAATTGTGCTACCTGTTGCAGATGTCCTGCTCTCCTTAAAACACTTTATGCTTTCACATTTGGCAGGAACACTTGCAATAGGCTTAGAGCTAACCAAGCGAAAGTAATCAAGGTTGTGTGATTATGTATAGCATCTACTGCTAAAACTCTGACAGGCAACTGCTTTTTATCCATTCTCTTCATTTTTATGGTTATAAAGCAGACATATTACAAAATATAGCTAAATACATTTTTGCACTATATCTTTTTGAGGCAGTATTGTTCTCGATTATATGTTTATGTTTAGTCATATACTGTACTTCTGATAAATTAATCAGAGGTGTACATAAAAAGAATCTAATAAATAAGCAAACAAAATGGCATTTATGAAACTAATAAAATAATGCTATTTGCTATATTTATTTTTACATTAAAATGATTACATTATCCTTAGAAAACGAATAAAAAACTACTGCAGAGACTGGATCTAAAGCAGACATATTACAAAATATAGCTAAATACATTTTTGCACTATATCTTTTTGAGGCAGTATTGTTCTCGATCATATGTTTATGTTTAGTCATATACTGTACTACTGATAAATTAATCAGAGGTGTACATAAAAAGAATCTCATAAATAAGCAAACAAAACGGCTTTTATGAAACTAATAAAATAATGCTATTTGCTATCTTTATTTTTACATTAAAATGATAACATTATCCTTAGAGAATGAATAAAAAACTACTGCAGAGACTGGATCTAGTAGAAACAATGAAAACATTTCATATGAAGTCACTTATAAGAACATAATAAAGGACATTCGGAACATGGGATGCTTGTATTTTAATTGTTGTTTCAAAAGATCTGTTTACTCCTTTATTAAAGTATGACACATAGTCAATTTCAACCACATTACTTGACAGATGCCCACTATACTTTTTTATAACTATGTGTTATAAAATAAAAAAACAAGCTTAAACTTAACTTCCATTTGTCTTTCCAGTTCCTTGTGCTCCTCCTGAGTTTACTTGGTCAATGTCTTTTAGGATTCAGAATATCGGAATCAAGGCCACATCTCATCTTCTCTGCTCTAAAGGCTTAGTTCATTTAGTTTGTCTCACTTGAAATTTAAATCAGGCAAGTAATAAGTCTGATTGCTCGAAATTAGAAATTGCTGATTTCTACTGTCTCCGGAGCACTAAAAACTTTCTTGCAGTGTAGCAGACAAAACTGAATATTCCATTCTAATAATTAATTGCAGTATTTTACCATAATTGTCTTTAAATTCTATACTCATAAAAATACAGTATATCAAAAGCATTTTGTGGCTTTTTGTTATTGTTACCTCTACTAAGTTGAAACTATGATCTACATAAAATTCTAGTTTTTGTTTAAAGAAACACTTTTAGATCTATACCATTCATTCGGTATCTGAAAGTCACATTTCGTCTTCCTGCCTGCATTACCTTGTACTTAGATGAGTTGAGTTTCATTTAAAAGGTGTCCTCCTAGTACTGAATTTTGTATTTTTATATTGCTTGAAATGTTGCTAAACTATTTGTAACACCACCTATTTTCAAATCTGACAGGTTTGCTCACTTATTTTAGAGTAGTTCACTGGTTTTGATCATATAATAATGACTGTCAACAATGTGTGACAGAATAATGTTGTATACTAATTCTGTCATCCAAACTACTTTCTTTAATTACACAAGATCATGTTTTATTTAAAAATCTTTTTTGTGTACTTACTAGTTTAGTTGAATAAAAGTAAAGATTGCAGCTATAGTTATGTTATGATACACTTAATGACATACTGTAAATAGTCATGAATGGTATAAAAATAAACATAAAATTAAAAATATCAAACTGGTAGCAGCCATTTATTCTACCTAACGTCCCATTTTATCACACTCCTCTAGATGTTGTTCAGCTGCTATTTCAATTCATAATTCCATAAATGTGGCTCCTGGATTGTTTTACAGAAGTATTCTGCTTGGTGTGAAAATTAGGTTCTGCTGGTCTTCCACAGGGCATAATTTAGACACTAGAAGAACAGGATAGAGTGTCATAATGACAAGCTTTAAAAAAGAGCTGTGCACTCATAATTCATAAGGATGGAAGAATCCCAGTTGATGCAATATTTACAACATAACCTCTTCTGTAAATATCACTGGCTTAAATTGAGTACTTCTGTATAAATAAAGTGGCATATGATCAGCAATCAAACTCAGATGACTCAAGGACTGACCTGAGTCAGAAATGCCTTTTAATCTAGAGCCTGCAATAACATTTTATGCTGGCTGGCAGTGTCACACTGTTTACAGATTGTTCATCACTGGCTCACATTTCCGCAATGACAAGAGAATATTTTTACTGTGTGGAGGAGGGAAAGCTAGTCAGCTCCACCTGGCCACCATGCCACATATATCATGCAGTGATAACAGGCAAGCAGCATGTGCTGACATATCTGTTACAGGTTAAATAGGCAAGGCACAGCCACAGATGCAGCATTTAGAAGCTGACATCACAGGTTGCCTTCTACTGCCAGATTACTAAATCCACATAGGAACTTTAGGCAT